AGTAAAGTAAAGTAAAGTAAAGTAAAGTAAAGTAAAACAAAACTGGATGCAGTATTCCAAGTGTGGTCTTAACTAAGGTTTTATAAAACATTTATTCGTAGGAGAAAGAGACAAGGAACTAGTTTCTTTCTTCTCTATTTTAAAACATTTTCAAACTCATGTAGAGACCGTGGCTTTTCAGATTCAGAAGCTGAACCAGAAAGGGGAACTAATGAGAATTGTGTCTTGGGAGAAGACAAGCAAAATATTGTTTTGATGGCTGGGCCTGCCACCTTGTGGCTGGTAAATAGAAAAGTATTCAGACCCGTAAATGGATGTAAAAATATTTTTAGCAGCTTGCAAACCCCAAATAGATGCAGTATCATCAACAAACGAACTGCATGTTTTTAGAACAGCTGCTTCCTCATAATTCTGCAGAGGGAAAAAGGGAGAAAGAGCAGGAAGGAAAGAAAAATAATTGATGATTCAGGACATACCAGTTGTCAAAGCGTTAGTTAGGAATTCTAAATTTAAATATTAAGCCTTGGTTTAGCCAAGAACATGTTGATGCTGAGACTAGCTTAACTTAGCTCAGGGATAATGGGATTTATAGAGATAAAAAAAAATGGCCGTTCAAAGGGGCAAATGATGCCATATACTGTATGCTATGACATCACACAAATGATGCCCTTTGTGACAATGGTGTAGTTTGCATCCGATCTTATGTTTGTGCTAAAATGCAAAAAGAGGCTCAATCTGCTCCTTATACTAAAGGACAAAAAAAATCTACTGGGTCAATTTTGTCTCTCTTTTATCGATTGGCAATATAATTCAATGTCATAGCTGACTGGGGAATTCTTGGAACTGAAGTCCACGAGTCTTAAAGTGACCAAGTTTGGAGACCTCCTGCTCTAGAGAATTCTTAGAAACTAGCCCAAGCGGGCGAGAGAAATAGTTCTGCTGCCTTCTGATATTTTATAGCTCACCTAAAAAAATAAACAAACAATAATGCTGGGGATTTGGGTTGAGTCTTATTTAGCTATGATTCCCATCTGCCTTTGTGTGAAATCCAGATATATTTTTTTCCATTGCATTTTCTATCTCCACAAGAGCTTCAAACACTTTTTCTGGCTGTTGGAAAACGATAGATTTGGGGTCTCTTTAGATTTCCAACAGGCTTGGATTTCTGAACAGTGGGAATAGTTATTTTTATTTACTCACATTGATTACCCTCTATAAATCCCCAAGCATTAGAGGCAAGCAATTTTCAACAGTTTCCAATTGTTGTCCACAGGAAAACATGTGGACTTCAACCCCCAGAATTCCTAAACCAGCCATAATCCATTATTTGAATTACAATGCCAATTGATAAGAGAGACAAAATTGACCCATTTTCTTTTTTAGTATAAGGAGCAGATTGTCCACTGGGCATTTTTAACGGAGATCATTTTTGCAATGGAATCATGATGCATTGTTGGGATATTGTTTATATGTCTTCTGACTGAGATGCCAGTGATAGGTTCACAAACAAAATAGCCAGAAACTGTATGGAAAGTTTTCAAGGACATTACTTCTACCCACTCTTCCTGCTTGCTCTAACCTGGGGTCCCCAAATTTGGCAATTTTAAGACTTGTGGACTTCAATTCCCAGAATTCTGGAAGTTGAAGTCCACAAGTCTTAAAGTTGCCAAGTTTGGAGGCCTCTGCTCTTACCCATTGTCTTACTTACAGGATTTAGATTGTTGCTTTGCAATTCCCCCGAGACAGATTCTGAATATATCACACCATATACTGTACCATTCTGGACAAACAGCTGAAATGCTTTGGCTGAAATTACTTCTGGACAAGAAGCAACAATTCAAGAGACATCCAATCTGGAATGAAGGAGAAACTTCCCAACAGTGAGAACAATAAACCAGTGGAACGGCTTGCTTTTAGAAATGGTGGGTGCTCCATCATTGGAGGTTTTCAAGAAGCAACTGGATAAACCACTTCTGTGGAAAGGTGTAGGGTCTCCTGCGTGAGCAGGGGTTGGACTAGAAGAGCTCAAAGGTCCTCCCCAACTGTGTTATTCTGCTTCATGGTAACGCTTGAAATCAGTTTTTAAGAAAAACTGGTTCCTTACAACTACATTATTCTGTTCTAAAGATTTTGGGCACAGGAAGTTGGCTGGTTTAATGTAGGACAATCTGTTGATCAGCGAGGAAGCTGCGCTTAATGCAAGCCAGTCAACATGTCACCAAGAGTAGTGCTATTCCACTTGGCCTTAGGTATTATGTTGTTGATGGTAAGATGGTGTTTGGTCCTATCTAAAGGCCTGTGTGAAACTGGCAGTCTCTCCTACGTAACTTCATTATAAAGTTACTACTCATTGTAAGGAAACCAGCTTAGATGTTGCGCTCCAGGGTTTCTCTTTGACCCAACTTCTACTAAAAAGGGGTTGACCCAATTGCATTGCTCTTCTCACTACACATGGCCGTTTTTATGTTCTCCAAGCAGACTCAAGATTAGCTACGTAGATTTATCAAACAGAATTTGGAAGCCATGCTCAGAAGAGGTTCTTCACATGAAAACACCCAAGATCCAACCTTTTATGTGTTAGTTCCAAATCTATGTCTTCATCATTCAGGACTTTCTGCCTTCAGTTCAATGGCCATGCTTAGTTTCCAAGTCTTGTTTACAAAACATCTTTTTTTGGCACGAGATTTGCCACTTCCGTGCCAGCTTCAATCATTACTCTACCCTTCCAAGTTGGAAAATTACTGCTCCTGTCCTGCCACTAGAGGAACAGCTCAACGGCTCCACAGTTAAGAAGCTGGGCTTGTCAGCTGGAAAGCCGGCAGCCCAAGTTTGAGACCAAAACACCACATGATGGGGTGAGCTCCCGTCCTCGCCCCAGCTCCTGCCAACCTAGCAACCTGAAAACATGCAAATAAATAGGTACCACTTTGATGGGAGGCTAACAGTGCTCTGTAACACCATGCTGGCCACATGACCACAGAAGTATCTTCAGAAAGCACCGGCTTGATGGTCTTGAAACAGAGATGAGCACCGTCCCTTAAAGTCAACAATGACTAGGAGTAAAATCCACAGGGATTCCTTTACCATTTTTACATGCCCCCTAGGGCGGGGTGTGTGTCCTCCCAACCTGTGGGCCGTGGCTATTTGCAACTGGGCCAGCGTGCACGCCAACCACATAAGCAGCGCGCCACAAAGTTTTCTCTCTTGTCTGAATGTAGCTGCCTAGTCCCCCCCATCCCTCTCCCTCCCAGCTGGGCTGCCAAACCGCCTGCTCCAAAAGCAGAGCAGTGAGAGGAGAGGCCTGATTTTCTAAGACTGCCCATGACAGGGGTGTCAAACTTGGATTTCATGGAGGGCCGCATCAGGGTTGTGTTTGACCTGGGCGGTGGGGGGGGCAGCTCAACGTCACTTGTGTTGGGGCACCTGTGGTGGCCTGAGTGCTCTTCCAGCGTAAAGATTCCCGGGCTCCGTTTTCAGCTTCAACAGCCTCCTGCAACCTGCAACTTTCTGCCAATGAAAACGGAGGCCTCCCGAGCTCCGTTTTTGTTGGCAGAAGCTGACCCTGTAAACTGAGATGGTTGTAAAGCATTATGGGGCAATATGTAAGTTTCCAGGATGGCCTGGCAGGCCAGATCTAAGGACCCCTTCACAGACACGCCCGGCCTATGAAGTTGTGCAAAATTAGGAGATGCCAATACACAAAGTCACTGCTTCCTGACATGCCAACTTCCCCCTTAAAAACTTTGGAGTCTGATCAATGCAATAACTCCCAAACGCTTGCAAACAATCTCGGTTTAATAAAATTAAGCTGTAATATATTAAACTTTGTTTAATAATGTACAAGAAGAAAAAACAGTTCAGCCATCATGTGACTGTCCTTATGAATCTTAAGTAGAAACAGAAAGCATCCAGGTTACAATCCACAATAGCGAAAACACACCATTTCAGCATCACCCTGAAATCCAAACGCAGAAACGGGAAAATGTTTTTATATGCAAAATAATCCCTGAGTGGAAAAGAATGACTTTGGAAAAAGAATCATGCAATTCTAGGGTGTTCCAGGCAGAGGTTCAAATGGGGGGGGGGGGAGAATTAATCTGAGCATTGCAAGCAGACCAATTAATCAGAACCCAAAAGGAAGAATTTTCTTTTACTTGCACTGAAATGTTAAATGCAGGTGTTGAATAATATTTTCCCCTCCATAGAGACTCTGAGCATCTAGAAGTGAGATGAGGCCATCACAACCGTACTTAAACAATTTGCATCAATCACGAGCAATAAGAGATCACATCATCACATCAACTGCAGCTCTCATTCTGAAATTATACTGCGGCTCCCAACACGGCTGGGAGAGGCCCACACAATGTCAAAAGATGCTAGAAATCTCACAGCTTGGGTTCAAATGTCTATTTGCAAAATGGGCAGCTGCAGTAATTTTGGGCAACCCTCTTACTCACTCTAACCCATACCTGGGGATTTGGATTGTCCCAATTCAGGAGCCAAGGTTACCTACAAAATATCCCTCCTTTTCCCAGTGTCATGAAGTTATGCACCACTCCACTTCAGATTCAGACCAGGTTTTTTTTTTTTTACATTTGTATCCCCAAAAGGACTATTCATTCACAATATGTATGGCTAACATGCAGGGAATCAGCCTGGAAATCTGCATGATGGGAAGGAAAGGAAGGAAGAGAGGAAAGGACAACAGGGGAGTGGAAGGAAAGAGTTCACAAGTCTTCTTTTGCACAAATCCCATTCTCTGTCTTTAAGTTTGAAATGTAATGACAAAAAGAACTTCTAGATTAAGTAGGTTGCTGAAAAAAAGAAAGCTGCTTGAAAGAAGTCATATTTGCAATTTGATCTATCCGAAGACACGCGTCCACATCTTATGTTGACTTGCTAAATTGGCAAAATAGGAAACCCCTTCGTTGCTTGTAGCCTAAGAAAATACTTTCTGCTATATTGTGTAACATGGGTGGGAAATTACGGCTCCTTTACCATCTGCGGGCTTCGACTCCCGGAATTCCCAGCATGGATGGCTCAGGAATTCTGGGAATGGAAGTCCGCAGGAGGTAAGGGGGCCTCGGTTGCCCACTTCCGCTGTGTGGTAGTATTAATAGGCTCAACTGTTACCTTCTGTGCAAAAGCTATTTACACCTTTTCTTTTACATGTGTTGTCAGGTATTATAAAGCACAGCTTTTCTTCATTTTTGGCATTAACTTCCCCTGTGCGTTTTTTTTTTTTCCTAAATATGCTGGTTGCACAAGATTGCACACTCCGCGCAGGCGAGTGTGGGATCCACTCTAGCTGGAATCAAGTGGTCCTGTCAGTAGGAATCTGCCTCTCTTGCACTTGGCCCCAGAGAGATGAGGTACAAAACTTCGCATCGCTCTCAAGCCATGGCGGCTTCGGGGATCTACGGTTCTCTTCCTTGAAGCTCTGAGCTAGCATCTCATTGCACGTCCAGCCACGTCTGTCCTTTAGCTTCAAAGTCTACATTCGCTCTCTTTGATCCAACCCTTCTTCCTTGGCCACGTTGGGACATTCAAGCTAGTGTCCGGAGAAGAAAGAGGAAGTTTATGGGCCCAGTTAGTTTGCCACAGCTGGAGGCCCCTCGGGCAGGAGGGAGGCGAAGAAAGTCTTGAAGAAAAGCCAAGCTGTGCTCATGAAGGAAACAGCTGGGGCCGGCTGGTTCTCGCCGACGGCCTCCGAATTCTCCGGTTCATTTTGTTCTCTTGGGTTTTCCTCCTGCTGAGATAAGGGGAAAAAAACAAAAATGTAATTATATGGCGAGACTTCCTCCCAGCGATCTCCAACTATTGGCGTAGCTTAACTAGGCTGAAGGTGGAACCTTTTTTCTTCTCCTTTTGGTTGACTTTAGGCAAAATCCCTGCAAGCAGCGTATGGTTACAGCATCGTCAATTTCCTGAACGTAGCTTGTGCGTTACAACCAGAGCAGAGTTAAAACTGTCCATTGCTGGCAAGACCGTTGAGTAGGTCTTGCCCCACTTTTATGACCTTTTTCTGCCACAGTTGCTAAGCAAATCATGGCAAGTATTAACTTAGTAAGTGAATTGACTTTGCTTGTCAGAAAGTTGCAAAAAGTGATCATACAACCTCGGGACCGTCGTAAATATGAATCAGTCGCCAAACATCCGAATTTTGATTAGGTGACCACGGGGAAACTTGTGTGGAAACTTTTTTCAGTGCCGATATAGCTTTAAATGGTCACTAAACAGTTATAAATTAAGGACTACTTGTGATCTTATCTTTTAAGGATACTTCAGCCCCAAATGTCCTGGGTATTAATGAAATTATTCTCATCCTATATTATTAAATACTGCAATGACTACATTGGCAGGATCCAGGGTGAGCAACATCAGTATTTTTTCTGGCACTGTTTTCTTCCTAAGACGAAAAGAACTCGGCGCCACAGGCTCTCCTACAACTGTGTGGTTTAAATAATAAACTTTCACTATGACCTAGAATAAAAGGTGATGCTACCCAACCAGTTTTTGATCAGTTGTTAAGGTCCTGGGCCAATAACCAGGAAACTGAGTTCTAGTTCTTGCTTTAGGCATGAGGCCAGCTGAACCTGGGCCAGTCATTTTCTCTCAGCTCACACCACCTCACAGGGCTGTTGTTATGAGGAAAAGAGAAGGAAGGAGTGTTCGATACATTTGCTACCTCCAGCTACTTATACAGTAAGAAAGGTGGGACCAATATGTCTATGGAGATTCAGGTCATGGTTATCCCAAAGGGGCTTTTTCAAGAGGCAGCTGGACTTTTTCTTTGAAGATGTTTCGCTTCTCATCCAAGAAGCTTCTTCAGCTCTGAGGAAGCTTCTTGGATGAGAAGCAAAACGTCTTCAAAGAAAAACAAGAAAATCCATTTGCCTCCTCCTGAAAAAGCATTTTTGGGATAAAAATCTCATGAATATATCAAATAAACCTATTCGCTAAATAGAATGTCTAAAATACTTCCAAGAGAGTACAGCACCTTCACTAGCCAATTTTGGGGCAGCTGCCTCTTGTTCGGGTTTATCGTCCAAGTGACACAAGGATATCAAGCGGCAGTTGACACAGGACAGACACCTGCCATGATCCAGGAATTGAACTTTCTAGAACAATTTGTTCTGTTCCTCTTTGGCTGTGCCATGCTTCCCTGTTCCAAGGATGGTTCGGGGATTAATTTTATTTATCCAATTTATTTGCGGCCCATCTCGTGGTTCAATACAACTCTGAGTGACTTAATTCCCAATGTTCTCTACACTGAAACGCATTAAGTTAGACAAAGCAGGTCTGTCTGAAGGCCAAACCACCTGGGAAACAGCCCAACCTATTTCCAGCCGTGTTGCTGCACTTCCATACAGTTACATCCTTAAGACCACAGTTGAGCCTAAAATTTCTGTTGCTAAGTGAGTTTTGGCCCATTTTATAACCTTTCTTGCTGCTATTAAGGGAATCACTGCAGTTCTTAAGCTAGCAACATAAGTTAAGTGAATCTGGCCTCCCCATTGACTTGGCTTGTCAGAAGGTCGTAAAAGGGGATCACGTGAGCAAATGTCATAAACATGAACCACTTGCCAAACATCCACATTTTGATTACGGGACCACGGGGATACTGGAACAGTTTTAAGTGTGAAAAGCGGTCCTAAGTCGCTTTTTTCAATGCGGCTGTAACTTCAAATTTCTTTATGTATTGAATTTAAGTTGCCGCCTATTTGCACATGGCAGGTTACAGAATATAAACCATTTAAAATATATATATATATTTTGTATAGACAAAGTCTGACTCACAGACGAACACAATACAGAAGCCTGATGATGGCAGATGAGATTCTGCCGAAACGTTGCTATAACTTTAAAAGCACAACTATAATGACGTGGGAAAATACCCAAACAGAGCTGAATGCCACTATATATATTTTCTACTCTGCAGAGCTGAAGACGCAAGCCTGAAGATGATGAATGAGACTTCATTGAAACGTTGCCTAGATACTTCCAATCTTACGCGGGAGAAAACTGGAATAACCAAAGATACACACACACACACACACACACACACACACACACACACACACGAGACAATATAAAATATGAGGACCCAAATTGTTGGGGACAAGAGGCTGACTCTGTAAACCGCTTAGAGAGGGCTGTAAAGCACTATAAGCGGTATATAAGTCTAAGTTCTATTGCCATTTAAAACAATACAACTAATAAAAAAGAATCAAATAAATATGTATAATAAAATCACCCCCACCCCCCACCAGCATCTCACACGAGCCATTTGATGGGCTCCATCCCACTCCGGGTTCCCCAGGCCCGCTGGAAGAACCAGGTCTTCTTCAGTGCCTTCTGGAAGAGAATCAGAGTGGGGGCCATTCTAAACTCTGATGTTCCAGAGAGAGGGAGTCACCACGGAGGCGGCTCTTCTTCTGGGTCCCACCAGGTGTCTCTCCCTTGGGGATGGGACCCTTAGCATTCCCTGCCCTGATGGGTTGGGTAGATGTGACTGTGAGAAAATTCCATCAGAGGAAGAAATTATTAAGAAAATACTGGATTGTGCTGAAATGAGTAAATTGACATTTGAAATTAGAGAACAAGAAGATAAACAATTTTATGAAGTTTGGGATCTTTTTTATCAATGGTTAGATAATAAAACATAATAATAGAACATTTAGACTTATGATATTCTTATTTTTTAATATTATTTTTATAAAACTTTATTAAGATAGAATTGGTATGATCTTACGATTCATTGCAGAATAAATTAAGTAAATTATAGTTATCTCATTAAAGTATGAGTTAATAAAATTATAAATGATTTCTTAGTGATGATATTGGGTTATACAATTATTGATAATATGAGTTATTATGTAATATAATTATATTAGCATTTAGGAAATGGATGCACAAAAAAAAAAGTGGTAAACCAACCGATACACTGTTTGTAAATTTATGAAGAAGGATGATGTTTTTATGTTTTATGTCATATGTTTTATGTTGTTTTGTTTGTTGTTAAAATAAAAAACTTTTTTTTTAAAAAAGATGTGACTGGCAAGAGACGTCCTCCTTCAGATCACCTGGTCCTGAGCCATGAAGGGCTTTAAAGGAGACAACCAGGACCTTGAATTGCACCCCGGAAGCAAATCGGCAGCCAAGGCAACTCCCGCACGTGTGCACACTGAGGTCTGCACAAAACCATACGGGCCGCTGTATTTTCCACCAATGGAATGATGATTAAATGAACGGTTGTAAGTGGAGGATTTACCGGAAATGTGCCGGAAGAGCCTAATTGTGGTCCAAAGGGAGTGAACCCTTTGAACTCTGAAGCACACTTAGCATGGAAGCAAGGCCCCACTGAACCAGCGCATTCCACCCTGGGTCCATTCTGAAAGCCAACGCTTCAGGATGCTCTCTGGCACGAAACTTACTTGCAAATTGTTATTCTGATCTTGATTAACAGCAGCTTGGACAGGAACGTTGTCCGGTGGTGGTGGTGGCGGCTGGGCTGCCCTTCGCCTGAAAGGGAACCAGCCAACTTGGTGCCTGCGAAGAGAAGACATTGGTAAGAGAAGCAAACCCTCTTGAGTGACAGTCAGCTTCTGTTTTTTAGTTGAGCACCTATCTATTCTCTCAGCAAGGGACGTGGTGGCTCAGTGGCTAAGGCGCTGAGCTTGTCGATCAGAGAGGTCGGCAGTTCGAATCCCTAGCACCACGTAACAGAGTGAGCTCCCGTTACTTGTCCCAGCTTCTGCCAACCTAGCAGTTCGAAAGCATGTAAAAATGCAAGTAGAAAAATAGGGACCCCTTTGCTGGGAAGGAAACAGCGTTCTGTGCGCCTTCAGCGTTTAGTCCATGACCACGGAGACCTCTTTGGACAGCGCTGGCTCTTCTCATAGGGCCGGGAACGACAGGCACATATGTGCGAGGGGAACCTTCGCCTATTCTCTCAGCAGGGACACAGAAGTGCTCTGCCCTTTTCAGCATGCTTCCTGACTTCCAGCCTAGTCAAATATCTCTATTTGCTGGTAAATTTCCTTCCAAATACAGGTAGTCCTTGACTTATGACCACAATCCAGCCCAAAATTGTCTTGGGCCAAGTGAGACAGTTATTGAATTTTGCCCCATTTTATAACCATTCCTGCCACCGTTAAGTGAATCACGGCAGCTGTGTAGCTATTAATACAGCTGTTTAGCAAAATCAACACGGAAGGCAGATTCACTCATCAGTGGGTCGCAAAAGGAGATCACATGACCTTGGGACACTGCAACTGTCATATGGGTAGTCCAGAACCGAGCCCAAAATTCCTTCTGCTAAGTGGAACATCACTGAAATGAATTTTGCCCCATTTTACATCCTTTCTTGCCATATTTGTCAAGTGAATCACCGCAGTTAATTACCTAACTTCAATTGTTAAGTGAATCTGGCTTCCCCAACTGAGTTCGTTTGTCAGGAGGTCGCTGCAACCGTCATAACTATGAATCAGTTGCCAAGTGTCCGTATTTTGATCACATGGCTATGGGGGTGCTGCCACGGTTGTGTGAAAAATGCCGTTGCGTCTTTGGTGAAACAATGAACTGTTGTAAATTCAGGACTGACTTGTGTAAATGCCAATTGCTAAGCATCCAAATTGTGATCACGTGACCGGGGGGTGGAATACTGCAATGGTGAAAAACGGTCGTAAGTCAGTTTTCAGTGCCGCTGTAACTTTGAACAAATGACTCTTAAGAAAAGGGCTAAAGGCAAAGGTTCCCCTTGCACATGCGCGCTCATCATTTCCAGCTCTAGTACTCATCTCTGTTACAAAGCCGAAGAGCCAGCGCTGTCCGAAGACGTCTCCGTGGTCATGTGGCCGGCATGACTAAACGTCTTTGAAGGCTCACAGAACGCTGTTCCCTTCCCATCAAAGGGGTCCCTATATTTCTATTTGAATTTTTTTTTTCATGCTTTCGAACTGCCCAGAAGCTGAGACAAGTAATGGGAGCTCACTCCATTACATGGTGCTAGGGATTCAAACCACTGAACTGCCGACCTTTCTGATCGACAAGCTCAGAGTCTTAGCCACTGAGCCACCGCATCCCTTAACGACCTGTACGTAATTCAAGCTGTGTGCAGAAACACCCCACCCCCACGGCTTTCCAAGCAGACTCACAGGTACATGAGGAGGGTGCCGGCCATCACCAAAAGGAACCGGCTCATACTGGAGTAAAAATAAACAATGTTGACGAAGACGTAGAAGAGGGTTGCCGAATAGAGCCAGTCTAGCCAATCGCGGTTGACTTCTTCGTCTCCCTCCATGAGGGGTCCTCCCTGGGCATTCATGCGCAGGTTTTGGTTCACTCCGGGGTTGGCTTGAGGGGGAGCATTTTGTTCTACGGGGGCATTTTCGGCAGGAAAAGGACCAGGGAGAGGAGCTGGAGGGGTCACCGGAGCCACTGAGATCTCCTGGGAACTTCGCGCAGAGGACAAGTCCCCCGAATGAGCGTTGGCAGCCATGCTGGAGAGAGAGAGGGGGGGGAAAAGGGACATAAAAACCCACTCCCTTCGTGCTGAAATAAAGGCGTGACTATGAAGTACTGATAGCATTAGTGGAGCAGCTGGTGAAATCCAAATGTATTCTAAATCAGCAAAGCTGGCTGGGGAATTCTGGGAGTTCAAGTCCACAAGTCTGAAAGTTGCTAAGGTTGGAGACCCCTGTTCTAAATTGACATGGTAAAATTGGGTTTTACCAATTAGACAGATTTCTTGTTATAGAAATGGCTAGTTTATACTATTATGTAAAAGTATGAAGTTGAGGTTAATGCCTTATTCTACTGCATCAGAAGTCAATGGCTTTTTTTTTTCACCTTTTCTTTCCCTTCCCTATTTCCCTATTTATTTTTGTATTTGTATTATTTGGGGGTCCCCAAATTTGGCAACTTTAAGACTTGTGGGCTTCAACTCCCAGAATTCCTCAGCTAGCTATGCTGGCTGAGAAATTTTGGGAGATGGAAGTCCAGAAGTTTGAAAGTTGCCAAGTTGGGAGACCTCTGTTATAAACTAAAAAAAAACTTTGTTTAAAAATTGACATGGTAGAGAAACACTGGCCTACTGAAAATGGCAAAATTCTGCATTACTGCAATTGTGGCTAAAAGTTTTGCTGGGTCCAAATGCCCACAAGAAGAGTTTTTTTGCCACACGGGCCAATTTATGAAGTCTGGATTTTTTTTTAAATTACTTTTCTGTGTGTTGTCTCTATCCAGCTGCCTTTTTTTTTTTTTTACTCAACTTTGGTGGATTATTGTAAAGCCAGTGCACGTATTCTCAAAAAACCCTGACATTGCTCACCTATATTGACAGCTTTCGTACAACTGGAAGATTTTGAAAAATGTGCCATGAATTTTGTGTGCCACGAACAGCTTAGCACGTGACTTCAGACATAAAAAGATTGAAGACGAAACTTACTATTGCATGTAGTATTGCCTGGTGTAGAGCTGATGGAACCAGAGTTGCAACATGTGATACGTGGTGTAGGATGAATAACTGGAGCTCATAGCTTGAAAAGGAGGCGGAGTCACCGGAGAGCTGGAGGAGAAGAGAACAGACAGAAGGCCGCCATTTCAGACCATCTTTCCATTACAACTATAACTGAACAGACCAAAGTTTATGACTGTTTTTGTGGTGGTGGTGAAGCCAGCCCATCATTTGCTATGGGTTGTTTTTGCGCCAGAAATCTGAAGTACAGGTAGTCCTTGAATTCCAACAGTTTGTTTAGTGACTGGTTCGAAGCTACAACAGCACTGAAAAAAAGTGACTTAATGACCGTTTTCCACACTTATGACTACTGTTGCAGCATCCCCATGGTCCCGTGATCAAAATTCAGAGGTTTGGCAACTGGGTCCGGGAGAATTTTGGGAGTCCACAAGTCTTAAAGTTGCCAAGCCTGGAGACCTCTGCTGTGAGCTCTCAACAAAGAATTTATTTATGTACCACCCTCACCCACAAAAATTTAACATTACAGTCAGCTTGTTCCATTCCTTCACGGTAGGAAAATACTAGCCAATTTCATAAACACTGATATTTGGGTCTTGGCTTTTGGCCTCAGGAAGGAAAATTTGTCCTGTTCCTTTTCTTCCACCTTCCTATGAGCATCAACCAATAAAAAGGAGGCCTAGGAGCCACCCTCTTTGCTCCCACTTCTAAGGATAAAAAGTAGACAGCCCTCTGGTCAGAAAACCCCGATGGATTCTCTGGCGCTGGTGTGCGGTGTTTCATAATTCGGCACAGGGGTTTAAGTCTAGAGAGAGTGTCAGTCTGGTCTATTGCAGGGTTAGTCCAACTTTGGCAATTTATAGACTTCAGCTAGCACAATTCCCTAGACACCATGGCTGACAGGGGAATTCTGGAAGTTGGAATCCAAAAATCTTACAAGTTGCCACGGTTTGACATCCCTGATGTAGTAGTTCTGGCGCCAGGCTAGAAAGCAGGAGACCATGAGTTCAAGTCCCATCTTAGCTATGAAAGCCAGCTGGGTGATCTTGTGGCAATGCTTCTCTCTCAGTCCAACTAACTTCAGTTTTGTTGTCGTGGGGAAACTAGGAGGTGATGTACTGGACACGTGAGCTGCCTTGAGTTATTTGTAAAAATAATATAGGCAGGATACAAATCAAACTAAGTCCCATCTACCCTGAGAGTCTTACATGGTTGAATGAAATTCAGTTGAGGCATTGATAGGGTATAAAAAGATGAAGTCCCAGAGCTTGGAGAAGCAAATACCCAGCCCAGAAGTAAACAGAAGGTTTCTGTACCGAGGCCAGGAAACTACGTGGCCATAAAGTTACCAAGCCTGGAATTCAAATCACAGATGACTGCAAGTTGAGTCACAGAAACGGGACCGGTTTCAAACCAAAAAAAGAAAAGAAGTCCAGTTGCTATGACTCAAATTCCCAGCCAACTCTACCTAGTTGACGGAGAATCTTCATCGTCAAATCACAGAGGTTTCTGCTTTTCACCCCCCAAATAAGAACTTGGATGCTCAAATGTACCTCATGCCAGCTTGCTCTGTGGTTACAGGTGGGCCTGCGGCAACCTGTTCTTGGCTGGGCGCAGGTCCAGGAAGGTCCGAGGGATTTTGGCCCAATGCTGTGGACTGCTGCTTGGCTTCAGCCACCTAAACCAACAAAAATTCACTGCTGCATTTTAAAACAGGCTTCAAAAGGTTCCAAGTGTTCACCTCCGTGTCAGACTCTCACAGTAGCCCTCTAAACCAAATTATTTTATTTACAATATTTAAAATTTATTTAGAAATTTTATATTGCCGCCTACTCGCACATGGCAACTCAAGACAGCTTTACAAGGATATAAAAACACCATATAAAAATAAAATCACCCATCCCATTCCAACAACAACACACATTCAATACTAACCATTTAATGGGCTCCATCCCACTCTGGGTTCCCCCGGCCCCATTGTGTTGGGAAATCAAAGGTAATGAGGAAAGGATAATTTAGTTGTTGGAAAAAAAACATCTCAAGACCATAAAATTTGGTCTTCCCCAATGTCTCCATTCAACCTATAGAATCATGGCTGGGTTCACCCGTTCCGCTAGGCCAAACACAGCCAGGAAGCCACGCTTTCCTAAGGCTGCATAACGCGGAAATTGGATCGCTGTGATCAACAAACCAGAATTGGAACCATGCCTGTCTTTCTGTGAGCTCACCCCCGTGTCAGTTTCTGACATGCTAGAACATTTATTTCTCATGCCTGGCAACCTTAAGATGTGCCTGGCTGGGGAATTCTGGGAGTTGAAGTCCACCCACTTTACAGACCCCAAGCTTAAGAAACTGTCCCAGGAGAACCTATAGACCCAAATCCCTGTTTTTAGCACTGTTGGTCAAGAAAACCTAACCATCTCAGGTGGCTCACCTGGAAGACCTTACATCCAGCCATCATCTGTCCCTGTTGGACATCTTCCCCCGCCTCCACCCAAAAATCCCCATAATGGATGGTTACAATATAGACATCTAGCCCAGATCACAAAATATCTGATCCCAAAAGCGGGTGATAAGCTAACATCTCAAACATCCGCTTTTCAATACCTTCACGTCAGTTCCTGGCATCGTCGGCAGATTCTTAGAGTTGCACACCAAGTGGAGAGCATGAACCGCCTCCTGCTGAAACAGGAAGCATTGATTAAAGTTTCAAAAAGGATCCCAGGAGCACATTTTGCGGATGCTCCGTTAACTGCTGAAAGCAAAAGGCTAGCAGGGCATACGCCACGTACCTTGGTGAGGACCTCTTGCAGAAAAAGATGGTCGGGCAACAACTTTCCAGAGTAGATCAACCTCTGAGTATCTTCAGGCTTGGAAGAGACAAAAAACAGTTTTAACCATCTTTTTTTTTCCTTTTTTTTCCAGAACAAGATTCCTCATTCTTGTAAATGTGCAAGCATGCATTTTTGTTGTTGTAAATTATAAACAGATGATCTTTGGACGACCAGCTGAGCGATGACCTTTGGGACACTCCTGAAAAGGAAAATATTTCCCCTTTGAGTGAGATTGCTGCTGGATTCCAGTAGTTTCCCCTGTGGCTGAACTGCACAGGGGGATTTTAGTCTTTCGTCCATAGGCTTAAGAGAACAAATGCCAATTGCACAAGAGAGTTTACAGGAGGAGCAAGTAACGAAACCACAGGAGATCTGACTTACAACAGTTCATTTAGTGACCATTCAAAATTACAACCACACAGAAAAATGTGACTTAATGACTGTTTTTCACACTTATGACCGTTGCAGCCTCCCCATGGCCACATGATCAAAATTTAGACGCTTGGCACTGACTCATAGTTATGACAGTTTCAGCGTCCTGGACTCATATGATCCCCTTTTGTGACTTCCTGACAAAGCTAATGGGGTAGCTAGATTGACTTAACAGTTACTAATTTCAGTGATTCACTTAACTGTGGCACAAAAGGACATAAAATGAGGCAAAATTTAACAAATTTCCCACTTAGCAACAGAAATTTCAGGCATTTATCTTAATCATTGACATCTTTCAGTAAAGTTTGTCACGTACACTTTTCTTTGATTACTAATTAGCAGCTGAAAGTAGATTTCTATAGGCCTCTAAACCTTCAGATAACCCCTGCTTTGTCTTTAAGCCAAGGCACTATCCTTAGAAATTCACTGCATTATTTTAGAGGTAAAGACTGGTTTCTACCAGTTCCCAACCAACAACTCTTTCAAAGTAGCTCCCACACCCACAAATGTGGAGGCTATCAACCTGGGGAACTGGCTGTTCTGCACCTTGGGTTTTGCTGCACTGGTACAGTTTCATGGACAGAGTAAAACTCAATTTTCCCTGCTCCAAACTTCACTAAAGAAAATCCTTGGGCGGAAGATTAAACATCAAAGCAGAAAGGGTCCAAATCCTAACACACCACTGTACAACCAACATGCCTTGTAGCAGGTCAGGGTTCTCAAGAGGCCAACTGCGCTAAGCTGGCATGTAAGGCCAAAACGGATGGGCAACGGGCAACAAGGAGCTGCACCACCCAGCCTACCTTATCAGTGGCCTTGCGGAATGACGTTGCTACCAAATAACTTCTCAAATTCCTGGAACGGTCACACGCACCACCCAGCCTTGGGACATTTTGTATTAAAACAACCTCTTGCATTGTTTTAAGATCTTTTCTTCTCATTCCTCTGCCTTCCCTGTTGCATGCAATGAAAACTTTTATTGCTTTCAATGCTGTTCCACCAGGCAATTCCAATCCAGCCTCACCTTGTTATTATATGGCCAAAGTATTGAACCTTGTTAGTATCAGGAAAGGGGAAACAGTTTCCAAAATAGAGAAATACACAAACATTAACTATGAAACTCTACTGAAACCTCTCTTCTCCTTCTGAGTTAATTTCAAACAAAGAAAATACTGGCAGTTGGCTCTCAGTTGCATCATCTGCTCTGCAAAGCAAATAAGTGTCAAAATTTTGTTTTGTGGGAGGAAAGATACAAAAAAAGCAATCATGAGCTATATTTTTCCTGCTTTAACCACTAGCTTTAGAAAAACAGTCCAAAATTTCTGAATATTAACAGAAGTTGTTCACAGGAAGATGTTTTTTTTTTGGGGGGGGGGGGGATCAAATTATGTAGAATACGGAGGACAAAATGTTATTTCTTTTTCCATTCAGATGATCTAGTAGTGATGTTTTATAATAAACTGATGGCTGATGTGGAAAAGGCACTTATTTCACTTTGGCCCCATGCCCTAGAAAGCTACATTTCTCAAAAGCAAGACACCCAGCCACCACAAGGAAATATTGAAAGTTCGGATCTGATTAATAGCATAAAGGGTCCTCCAGAGGTCGTCCAGTCCAACCCAAGCAAAGACTCTGGCCTATACCATGCTGTACAAAAGGCTGTCCAATCTCTTTAAAAACCTCCAGTGAGGGAGCATCCACAAAGTCTGGAGGCAAGCCATTCCGCTGACTAACTGTTCACTCTCCAAAGCATCAAGCGTCAACACACCCCGCAAAATGTCATCATTCTAAACCATATTAACAATTTCCATGAAAATATCAGAGGAAAAGTGGGCCACTGCCGGTTCTCTCCACAGAGCCAAACCCACACAAAGATTTTATTATTTTTGGAAGGGAACTCCTTCTAACAGCCAAACCTAACTCAAAAGGGTTTTTTTTAAAAAAAAAAATCAGGATAATTCCTTGGCCATTATTCAGATTTTTTTTAAAAGAAAAAGTTCAAAATACATAAAGGACATCTAGTACAGGCAGGAAACTGCCATGAACAAGAAATTCCTTTAAAATTGTTGGATGCTCCAAAGTCCAGGAGCTGATAAAACCTTGACACAGAGGCTCATACCCTGCTTAGCTCTGGGATGCGACACCACCAGGAAATCCCCAACAAACAGGAAGGACAAAATCCATTTTGGAGAAAAGCAACTTCCTAGAATTGCTACCGGAAATTTTCTCAGAAAGACCCTGGGATAAATCGGCAACTACAGGGATTTTTTTTTTAAACCGATGCAACAATGATCCTTGCTCTGCATCATGGGACCAGAGCCAATGCACTCTGTGCATGCTCAGAAACCCACTGGGATAAACCACAACCCTGCAAAGATCAAGTGCATTTCAAAAGCGGCTTTTGAACGCTCCGAATTGCACCCAGCAGAGGAAATGCGCTCTGCACTTGCTCAGAAACTCCATCCCCCCCATAGAGCCGGCGCGAATCACGAAGCACAGAAAAGGGGAAGGGAGACCAAGCGGAGTGGAGATTCAAGGTTCTTCCCAATCCAGCACCATGTTGGAGGAAGGTCAAAGGGATTCCAAGGGGACAACACCCATCATCCCCAGCCGCGTCGCTCTACTATCCAACACTGGGGCTGGGGAAAGACCCCCAAGTCAGGAGAAAAAGCGCTTAAAGCCGCTTTGAAACCCTCTTTCCCCCCCCAAACCCCAGCCTTCGTCGTCGGGCCCCTCTCTGGAAACCAACCCCGAGGCCCGCAAGTATCTTGGCACGCCATCCCCAGCCAGGAAGCCGAAGTGGGATAGACTGCGCCCGTCCGAGGAGGCTCGCGCGCATGCGCGTTTCACAGCTCACCGGCTCATCTGGGTGAAGGTGTCGCAGCTCCGCCTTGAGGCGCCGGACACTCCAGGAGCGCCGGGCCGACAGAAGCAAGTCCGGGTGCCGCTGCGCGGGGCTCTTGACGACGAGGCCCACCTCGTCCACCTCCTCGGCTTGCCGGCTTTCCATCCTCCTTTAAAGGCCTCAAAATCCTCCCGCTTCCTTCCCCTCCACAAAAACCCTCCTCGGTCTACGACGACGTCAACGGCCTCAGGAGCGGCGACGGCCGCTTTTATAGCCTCGCGGGCGGCTCAGGCTACGCCTCCCGCATTATGGCGACGTCGCTGTGGCCGCCGAGGATTGGCCTCCAGGACGAGCTCGCGCCGGACGTGGACCTATCAAGGAGAGGCCGCTGGGCGGGAAAGGGCGGAAGGGAAAGCGCGATAGGGCGTTGGGAGGAGGCTTCTCAACCCGGAGGCGGGACGTTGATCTTGGTTGGTTGCACGGCGCACAGCGTTACCTGTTGGACTCCCACTCCCACAGTTCCTTGCCATTGGCTTGGTCGGCGGGGGTGGATGGGAGTTGAAGTCCGCAGTCTCTTTGCGGCCTTCCGCATTTCGTAACTGTTGTTTACTGTTGCTGCTGCGTTCCCACAAGAAGCTGAACTAAAATTAGGTTGCCTGTGATTCAGTACCCTGTGGTGGGGATGCAGCCAATTGCCTCAGAACGAGGCGTGTGTCAAGCAGTCACATTGAACTGTATTAAAAACTCTGTCAAGGACCTTGGAGTAGTCGTCTCTAATGATCTAAGGGCCAGAGCCCACTGTGACAACATTGCCAAAAAGGCATTAAGAGTTGTTAACCTAACCTTCTGTAGCTTCTTCTCTGGTAATATTGTGCATGGGTCCCCAAACTTGGCAACTTTAAGACTTGTGGACTTCAACTCCCAGAATTCTCCAACTGGGTTGCTGCAAGGGGAATTCTGGGAGTTGAAGTCCGGATGACTGAACAGTGGCTGAGGGGGTGAAAGTGGCTGCTCCCTGGCCTTTGGGTCTCCTTGGGATACCTCAGTGGGCAGCCCTGGGCAGGCAGCCCTACTATCCTTCTCTGGAAGGAAGGAAGGAAGGAAGGAAGGAAGGAAGGAGAAAGAAAGAAAGGGAAAGAAAGAAAAGGAGAGAAAGAGAAAGAAATGAAAGAAAGAAAAAGAAAGAAAGAAAGAAAGAAAGAAAGAAAGAAAGAAAGAAAGAAGAAAGATGTTTTTGACCGTGGGTCCCCAACCTTGACAACTTTAAGACTTGTGGACTTCAGCTCCCAGAATTCTGGGAGTTGAAATCTACAAGTCTTAAAAGTTGCCAAGTTTGTAAACCACTGAACTAAAGCATACAAAACATTTGCTAGACCAATTCTTGAATACATCTGGAACCCACACTGCATATTGGACATTAATACAATCGAGAAAGTCCAGAGATATTTCATGAGAAGAGTCCTCCACTCCTCTACTTGTGATAATTTACGCCACCAGGCTGGAAATTTTGGGCTTGGACAACTTAGAACTATGCTGCCTTTGGCCTGACCAAAGCGTAGTACATAAAATTATCCATTGCAATGTCCTACCCATCAAAGACTACTTCAGCTTCAACCTCAACAATACACAAGCACACCGTAGATACAAACTCAAGGTAAACTGCACCAAACTCGATTGCAGGAAATATGACTTCAGCAACAGAGTGGTCAATGCCTGGAATGAACTACCTGACTCTGTTGTTACATCCTCTAACCCCCACTCCTTTAACCTCAAACTATCCACTACTGACCTCACACCATTCCTAAGAGGTTTGTAAGGAGCGTGCACAAGTGCACCATTGTGCCTATCGTCCCTGTCCTAATGTTCCTTTTTTATTTGTATCCATTTCTTGCATAGTTTATACTTATATGTGTTACTTAATACATGCTTGACAAACAAATAAATAATAAAGTATTATGGTGGGTTTGCAACTTTGCATGTTGCATAATATGAATGCAGCAACTTTTGCAGCCCTTAGATCTTTTTAAGAAATGGCAGGTTTTGTCTTTAAATTGAGATTTGGCTCCTGGGAAACTGAGATCCAGAAGAACCTTAGAAGTTATCTTATATTATGCAAGTACCTTTATCCTATCAGTTTCCACCCTAACAGTAGTGTTTTCTGAAATTCTTATCTTACTAAATTTAGAATTTACGTGATGGAGACTGAAGCAGGAATAGCCAACACTCCAGAAGAGAGGCTTAGGATACAGAAGAATCTTGACAGACTTCAACACTGGGCGCTATCTAACAAAATGAAATTCGATGGTGAAAAAAGTAAGGTTCTACGTTTAGGCAAGAAAACCAAATGCACAGGTATGGTATAGGTGCTGATACTGGCTCAATAGTAGTAACTGTGAGAGGGATCTTGGAGTCCAGTGGACAATCACTTACATATGAGCCAGCAGTGTGCTTTATCTGCCAAAAAACCCAACACACTCCTAGGTTAAATTAACAGAAGCATAGAATCAAGATCACATGAAGCGTTAATACCACTTTATAATACCTTGGTAAGGCCATACCTGGAATATTGTATCCAATTTTGGTTGCCACGATGTAAAACAACATGTTGAGACTCTGGAAAGAGTGCAGAGAAGAGCAACAAAGATGATTAAGGGGCTGGAGGCTAAAACATATGTTGCTGGAATTGGGTATGTCTAGTCTAATGAAAAGAAGAACTAAATATGGTATGATAGCAGTGTTCCAATATTTGAGGGGCTGCCCCAAAGAAGAGGGAGTCAAGCTCTTCTCCAAAGCACCTGAGGGAAGGAAAAGAAGCAATGGGTGGAAACTAATCAAGGACAGAAGCAACCCATAACTAAGAAATTTCTTGACAGTTAAAACAATCAGTGGAACCACTTGCCTCCAGAAGTTGTGGATGCTCCAACACTGGAAGTTTTTAAGAAGGGATTGGATTACCATTTGCCTGAGAGTTTCTTGCCTGAGTAGGGGTTGGACTAGAAGATCTCCAAGATCCCTTCCAACTCTGTTGTTCAGTTCTGTCAATTGCCAAGTGTCTGAATGATAGGAAATGCAAAATCCTGTATTCTTCTCTAATACAGTTTTCCAATCTTGGCAAGAGGTCCAGACGTCAATTCCTAGAGTGGCTATGGCTGTGGAATTCTGGTAGTCCATACCAGGGTAGGAGACCTCCATCATATGTTGATGGAATTCAACTCTCTGGTTATTTCTCATGCTGTCAGGGAATGTTGCCATGGAGGTATGCTGCTGCCTGCACACCTTTTATCTTATCAGGACATGGAGATTGCAACAATGGAATGTTTGCCGCCTTCTTAGTAGACTAGCAAGATCTTGCAGGACTTTTTTGCAAGACCAGAATTAGAGCCCTTGGCAGAAAGAATAACAAAGTTGGAAGGGACCTTGGAGGTCTTCTAGTCCAACCCTGTGCTCAAACAGGAGGTCCTATACCAGTGGTGGCTAACCTTTTTGGGCTCCTGTGCCAAAAATTGTGCACGCGCTTGCACGCTCGCACTCACGTGCCAGCACCCAGAAAGCAATGCACACACCCTCATGCCCCCTATGCATGCACACACAATACCCGCCACCCCCTTACCTGCACTACTCCTCACAGCTGATTTTTGGCTGGTTTGTGGCCTTTTTCGGCCTCCCAGAGGCTTGAGGAAGGCTTCTACATGGTTCTGCAGACTTTGCAGGCCGAAAACTAACCCCATTTCATCACTTCTGGTATTCTCAGAAAAATAGGAAGTGACGAAACGGGGCTAGTTTTCGGCCTGCAAAGCCTGCAGAAGCCTTCCTCAAGCCTGTGGGAGGCCGAAAAAGGCCTCAAACCGGCCAAAAATCAGCTGTGAGGCAACTCGCGTGCCAGCACAAATGGCTTTGCGTGCCCCCTGTGGCATGCGTGCCATAGGTTCGCCATCACGGCCCTGTGCCATTCCCAAAAAGTGGCTATTCAGTCTCTTCTTAAAAGCCTCCACTGACGGAGCAGCTACAACTTCTAAAGGCACTGGTTAATTGTTCTCACTGTTAGGAAAGTTCTCCTTAGTTCTAGGTTGGATCGCTCCTAGATATGTTTCCATCCATTGCTTCTTATGCTGCGTTCTAGTGCTTTGGAGAATAGGTTGAGCCTCCTCTTCTTTGTGGCAGCCCCTCAAATATTGGAAGACTGCTGTCATGTCACCTCTGGTCCTTCTTTTCTCTAGATTAGCCATATCTAATTCACCATGTATTTTAGTCTCCAGGCCCCAAATCATCTTTGTGGCTCTTCTCTGCACTCTTTGCAAAGCCTCAACTTCTTCTTTGTAACGTGGTGATCAAAACTGGATGCAGCATTAGAGAAGATGAGAAGAGCCTTCTCAGTTCAGACGTGGAAGTAAGAGGTCAATCTCAGGGACCAGAGTGACTGAGTTGGGCGGCCATAAAAATTTGAATGAACGGATGGATGGATGGATGGATGACATTGAAACATAGAGGCACACACAGAGAGACAGTCAAACACACCCATCTAGGGGAGGAAACACCAGGTTACTAAGAAAAAAAGCATCAGTCCTTCCCTGATCTACCCACATAAGTTAATCATCTTACCAAGGAGTCACTTCATTTCGTATGGCCCAAATAATGCTGTTGGCATTTTTCTTAATCTGGTACCGATCACAAGCACCAAAGAGCGAATTCATTTTTTCCCTCTTTTATCATACAAAATCAAAGGGCCTGTTCCTGATTTCCCGCCTTCGTGCTAACGCTGTCCATCGCATCTCTAGTTCCCTCTAGTTCTATTTTAATCTGAAACCTTCAGATCACTTTACACGGACAAGGATTTTCTGTTTACTTTAATTTATAACTGTCTACCTCAGCCTTTTTATCTCCATGTTCCTATCTGGCTTGTTTGTAGTGAGATGTTTTCTCGTCTGCAGTAGTTGTTTAAGCTCCTTTGCTCAAACTATTAGAACCAAGCTCGTTTGCATTTGAAAGTTTTTCTCTGAAGGCTAGCAAATGGAGGCTTTTCTCTCCTCCCAGCACGTAAGAATCCTCTCTTCCTGGAACCGATTGATGGGGCTCTGTCTCAGCTGGGATGCTGCACACGGTGGGCCCGTTTTGGACTTTTGCAGATTCTGGTTCAGAGTCCTTTTGGCTACTTCTTGGCTCCAAATCTTGCCGTTTTTTTCCCATGGTCTAGAGTATTTTTTAAAAAACAAAACAAAACTCGATGACTTTAAGATGAGTGGATTTCAATTCTAAGAATTCCCCAGCCAACATGCTTTAAGATGGGTGAACTTCAACTCCCAGAATTCCCCGGCTAAACATAAAGCATGTCTGGCTGGGGAATTCTGGGAGATGAAGTCCACGCGTCTACAATTTGCCAAGATTGAGAAGCATGGCTGTAGATCTCTATCTGTATTGGCATGTTACGAATCCGGAACAGTAACTTTCAGCAAGATATTTTGGAATCTTGGCATTCAATTAATGGTTGAGCGAACTTGTTAGGTGAGTCTGAAATAATGGCATCATTCTAAGCTGAAGCAAGAGCCAGGCCACTTTTTAATTTATTTTTAATTGCTTTTATAATAACAACCCCAAAAGAAATAAAACCCAAGGATCATTATAATGCTAATAAGTACATTCTGGGAGTTGAAGTCCACCCATCTCAAAGCATGCCGGCTGGGGAATTCTGGGAGTTGAAGTCAGCACACCTCAAAGTTGCCAAGATTGAGAAATACAGTCCTAGCAACATAATAGTTCTGCTAGTTTTTTTAAAAATGGTCTTCTCCAGTAAATTGATGGCATTATAAAAAAAGCGGGGACTTTTTCATTTTGGCCAACAGCAAGGATTGCAGAAAGCCTTAGCTGCATGTTGTTCAGAAGCCATCCCAAGCCCTAGAGATATGATTGTTATGGGTTTATGGAAGAAATTCACCTGGAGCCAGTTACCTGCATCTCCAAGTGCAGCGTGTAATTTGCAACCTTGTATGACTTGTAGTCTTTTTCCAGTAGAATCAGGTGCTGGTTTCACATTGTGCAAGAGAGGAAGCCCAGGTTAAGTGGCTGATGCAATCCTGAAGCTAATTTGCGAGAGTGGATTTTTAAAAGCCACGCTACGCAGTGAGGATCTCACACACGAGCAGCTAGAAAAGGAAAGGGAGCGTGTGTGTTTGTGTGGCATTATAGAGGCAGACCTCCAACTTACGAGCACAATTGAGCCCAACATTTCCACTGCTAAGCAAAACATTTGATAAGTGAATTGTGGTCCCATTTTACGACCCTTTCTTGCCACAGTTGTTAAGCAAATCACCGCAATTGATAAGTTAGTAATAGTCATTAAGTGAATCAGGCTTCCCCATTGGCTTTGCTTGTCAGAAGGTTGCAAAAGGGGATCACGTGGCCTTGGGCACAGCAACCGTCATAAATATGAGTCAGTTGCCATATTTATGATCATGATATTTATGATCATATGATATTTATGGTTATGATTTTGATCACATGACCATGGGGATGCTAAAATGATTGTGTGAAAAGCAGTCAGAATAGTCACTTTTTCAGTGGCCTTGTAACTTTAGTCACAAAGTCAACTGCTGTAAGTAGAGGACTAGCTGTGTTGTGTGAATATAAATTAGGGGCTTTGCTTTTAATTTTCAAACATTTGTTGCATATTCAGTGCCAGTCTCTGAGTTCCAAAAACCTGAGCAAAATTTGATCTGCTATTAATTGGATGGGAGACCATCAAGGAGAGCAGATCTAGGAAGTAGTGAGGAGAAGGAGGAGAAGAAGGAGAAGGAGAAGAAGAAGGAGAGGAAGAAGAAGGAGAAGGAGAGGAAGAAGGAGAAGAAGGAGAAGGAGAGGGAGAGGGAGAGGGAGAGGGAGAGGAAGACAACCGAACAGTTCAACAAAAATCAAGAAATTTAACCTGGAAATAAGGAGAAACTTTCTGACAGTGAGAGCAATCCACTCATGGAACAGAAGTTGCCTTCAGAAGTTGTGAGAGCTTCCTCGTCACTGGAGGCTTTCAAGAAATGGTGTAGGGTCTCCTGCTTGGGCGGGGGGTTGGACTACATGACCTACAAGGTCCCTTCCCAACTCTGATTATCTGTTATCTAAGTTCAAATTGAGGGAATCTTTAAGACACAGACTGCCAGACACTTTAGATACAGACCCAGAAAAAAAGATTTCTTATCCTTCATTAATATGAACCATTCAAGATGCTTTCTTGTCTGCCAATAGCCACCTTTTGCCAGGATTCAGTTGTCTAGAGTCATCTGCCCTCCACGGTGGGCAGGGGGTTGAATGCAGAGGGGCCTCGCCTGAATCAAGCGGTTTAGCTGGCCCAACACGGTTGGCATTTAAAATTGGGCCACATTTTGAATGGGACTGAGACTCAGTTACTCTGGAAAAATACAGTGTGTTTGAAATCCTAACAACTGAATCCTAACAAGTAACAGAGTTGGAAGGGACCTTGGAGGTCTTCTAGTCCAACCCTCTGCCTAGGCAGGAAACCCTACACCACTTCAGACAAATGGTTATATCCAACATCTTCTTTAAAACTTCCAGCGTTGGAGCATTTACAACTTCTGGAGGAAAATTGTTCCACTGATTAATTGTTCTAACTAAAATCCGTTGAGTTATACAAAGCAGGTTTATTTGGGGTGGTGAATGGGACTCCAGTTTCTTAACTCCCCAAGTAAACAAAATTATGGACAGATTTTGGGAGAGCCCTGCATTAAGATAGGGAGACAGGCATAAGGGAGATAAAAATGATGTACTGAGCGGGAATTTTGGTAGCGCTGGGTTGAAATGGGGAGGGGGTCCTTGGTGCTCTCTGAGCTCAGTTGTTTTATTGCAGATGTTTCATTAACCCAAACTAGGGTAACCTCCATCAGTGCCAACCCCTCTCCTTTCCTAGCACTGATGATATTATTACCTAGTTTGGTAATGAAATGTCAGCAAGAAAACGACTGAGTTCAGAGAGAACCGAGGGCCCCTTAAAAATGGTATCTCTGGAAGCTGTCCAAGACCCTGAACAGATGTTCTCCAGGCTGCAATATTTGTGGGAGGTTCCCCCTTTTCCTTTATTTCCCTCTCTCTCTGATCCAGGTTGGGTCTTTGCAGACAACCCCTATCACTCTGGGAATCTAAATAAAGAATTTAGGGAACAGGCAAGGGCCTCTGTTCTCTTGAGGTTACTCTCTGAAGTGGCTGGGCTGCCTGCGGTTGAAACCAGCTGTTTCACTTCCATTTTCAGCAGCTGTTGCCTTTAGCAGGTGTTAGTTAGATGCCTCTTTCCTTCAGGCTGGTGCAATCCTCCGCATATCAAATCAATGAGAAGGTTTCTCTCTCCCCTTTGGGACAGCAAGCTGAATTTTAGAGTCCAAACGTGTTAGGAAATCTTTAGGACAGGCTGCCTCCTGCTGGATCCCTGAGGGGTTTCACTGAGTTTTCACTGAATGGGAAATCTGGGTAATATAGTTTTGTAAATTTTATTGGTTTTTAAAAACAAACATAAACAAACAAAACATAAAAACATAAAATCTTTTTTGAAAGCAGCATAATCCCGGGTTACATCTCTTCGTATAGACACAAATTCAAGTTCATTCTACATTTTCTATATAGCTTCTCCCCTCTTTTAACTTTCTTAATTTTATTTTATTTATTTCATCTCAATTCAAATCATTGTACTTATATTCTTTGTCTGTCCTGTTTCAACTGTCTACTATCTTTTCTCATTAAACAAAATTTCTCCTGTAATCACTGATTAGAGTATGACGCCTTTATATCTTTCCCCTAAAATTATAACACTTAATATAATACATAACTTCCATTCGGATTCTGCTTGGTACATTCTAAAACTATACACTGTATTCTTGAAAAAAGAAAAAAATTATAAATGTATAATATAATTAAAACAACAATCCATTCCAATTCAATTCTATCATTAATATTAATATTCATTTAAATCTTAACATTTTGCACATTACTTTTCAAATAAACATTATACTTCTATGGGAACAATTATAAACTTTTCATAGTGAATTTCCCCCCCCCCCTTCACTTATATTTTATAAAACATTGACTAATTAAAATGTTCCCGTTCCTTCCTAATTCAATTTTCTCATTTATTTTATTTCATTTATTTTATTCACAAACATTTCTCTAAATTACACTATTTTATCCCTCTTTTTAATCATATGTTGTTCCCAATTTTCTAACATTATTTCTATTACAAATATAACAATACAATCTTATGTGCCTTCACAGAATCCCTTTTTCAGTTAGATTTTCACCCATTATCTCTAAATAGGTCCTGTTTCTTTACATCTTGCTCCAAACCTTTGTAACTTCTCTTCCTTTCCATCTTCCCTCTCTTCTTCTCTCTCCCCCTTTTAGCCCCCTGTCTCTCCACCTCCATTTCCCTCTTCTGTATTCCCCTTTTCTGTTGCTTTCCAACATTATATCCACTTTTCAAATTATTTTTCCCTTTTTTGGCTGTTTTTTAAAGTCTTAAATTTTCCATTCTCTTTCCCCCCCCTTTCCCCTTTCTTCCCCACATAGAGTTACTTGTTCTTCTTCTTTGGCTTCTTCTTTGTCCCAATCTTCTTGTTGCGCAGTCTTTTCTTGTTGTTCCTCATAGTTACAGATCTCCATTTCTAAGAATTGAAAAACGAAGCCAAAAGAGCCCTTCCCTTCTTGTGCATCTTCTTTATATTTTTTAAGTTCCATTTCAATTCATCCAGAAGTGATGCCATTGCAAAAATTTTTAAACAACCACCCAATTGTTTTTAGTCATTCAAATATAATAACCAAAAATCCAAACGTCACCAAGCAATCCAAATATACACAAGCTGTTTCTTTTTACACTTTCTTCTTTTTTTCACTTTCTCTTCCTTGGGGTTACTATTTAGTTGCAAAGTTCCGGTTAAAATGTATCTTTTAGAAGTCTTATTGAGATTTTACTTTAGATTCTTTTGAAGTCCAGGCAGTCTCCTCCCTTCCAGATCCTGCCCTTATTCTTTTCCTCTCCCTTCCTGCTTATAGAAAAAAAAAATTTAGTGTCCAGAAATCTTTATTGTCCCTTTGGCATTTAATTATATTTTCAGCTTAATTGCCTATTCATGCCAAAGCGGATTTTTCTGATTTCTTATTCAGATCTCTTAGTTGTCAATGTAAGGAAGGAGAGAGAAGAAAAAAAAAAATTCCCTTTTCACTTTCTTTCACTGCTTCTGACTCTTCTTTGGGAGCGATGTTATCTTTTATAAAATTTAAATTCCAGGGTACCTTAGTTGTTCCTTTTTAACCCGGTCAGCCAAAACTTTCACTTCTTATTTTCCTCCTGCACTTTCTTTTCCGGTTGAGTGCTTCTTTGTGGTGGCCATTTCTGACCACCGCTACAACCGCCTTCGGGAAAGGGAATTTGGCCAGCTGAGGAGGAGAGATGCGGCTCTCCTCAACCCTGCTGGCAATCTCCCCCCTCTTCACCACCTCTACAGGGTGGCTTAGCCCCGAAGCCAGCCGGCTCAGGGCGTTCCAGCGGCGAGCCCAGGCAGAAACCGCGCACGACCGCGGATTCCTGCCTGCCGCCGAAGCCCTTCAAACCGGAAGTTTCGGAAATCAGGGTAATATAAATGGAATGTATAAGACATTCTGCCCTCTTGTCTTACTGGAATATTGCAGCTTTCCATTGGGAAAAATAAGGCCATTAATTGATGACATAATAGAGCAAACAGTCCCCTTATGGCTGGCTGAAGTATTGACCTGACAATGGGGAAAATAATGCAATGTACTGTAATCTCTACCTACATCTACATCTGTCTGTCTGTCTGTCTCTGTATCTATATAATATCTTATAGCAACCTATGACTATTACTAAGTGTTGTATCTCATGATTCTTGATGAATGTATTTTATTTTTTCTTTAAGTACACTGAGAGCACATGCACCAAGACAAATTCCTTGTGTGTCCAATCACACTTGGCCAATGAAGTATCCTAACCTATCCTATCCTATCCTATCCTATCCTATCCTATCCTATCCTATCC